CGGGCGGCGGCAACCCTTCTCCACCGCTTGACAACATTCCCATCGGTTGAGACTTGAGAGCTTGTGTGTTTTCTTTTTCTTTTCTGGTCTTAGATAGATCTGTCAATGAGAGACTCTTCGCATTCTTGATTTTGTGTGGGAGAGCCGAGAATGTTTGGATGCTTGGATTTATTCTCTTGGACATGTGAGTTTTCTCTTTATTTTTTCCTTCTTTTACCTCTGCTATTTTTTCCTTTCATCTTCTTAGTGGTGGGTTTGGAGTTCATATTTGCTCTGAATCTGGGCAAGAATAAAATCTAAATTGCTCTGAAATTTTGAGTTTTTTTCCCTCCGTGTAGTTAAAAGAGAAAAGCAAGAAAAAAAACAAGAAAAGAGATTTTTTCACCATGTTTTCTGTTTTGTTTTTTTTATTATTAATATAAAAAGGCCACAAACACAACCTAGATTTTGAGGCCATTTTTTTAATTGGGCCTTTAAAGTTAAGGCCCTTTAAATAAATAAAAAAGGAAAAAATCGAAAACCAAACCGAACAGATTTCAGTTATTTTCTTTCTACTCGAAAACCGACCCAACCCGAGATTTTTTCACTCCTAATTTTGACAAAAACCACCCCCAAATCTAGCCAAACACAAACGCTTCGATTTCCTGAAACTCCATTTATTCCGTCCTCTGATTAGCCTTCTGATTCATCTATTTTGCTCATGACCCAACTCATGTCGACATATTCAGATGATGGTGGAGACGAAGTAGGAGGAGGCAATAAAGACCCGGGAGCGAGATTTGTTGGTAGAGGCAATGGAGGAGAACTAATTGGTGGAATACAAATAGAAGAAGAAGAGCACGGTTGAGTATGAAATTCTGCCAAAAAATCTACAGAGACCAATAATTGCACCAAAAACAAGTACGAAAGAACTGCACAACAAATCGAAGCGAGCTCGGACATTTTTTATTCACGAATCTTCAACAAAAACAACAGTGAGAAGAGAATTAACGTTGGAGGCACTGTGACAAATATGGGGAATTCGAAAAAAAAAAGAACGACAACAAGGCGAAAGGTCATCGAGAGACGTGGTTGGGCTAGCAAGTTGAATTGGATCATCGGATGCACACCCGCACTTCGTCTGCCTCGTCAAGGGAACCCCTGGCCTTCTCCTGTTCATCAACTCGAACCTCATTCTTCTGCAGTTGATGTTACGGATCAGCCCCACTCTTCAGGCCAGCAGCTTTGCTCAGCATCTTCTGGGTAGAGTTCTTTTTATCACAAGTCGTTCTTGAACTCTGAAACAAGCTCTCTGATCTCCTCGGAATGGTCATTGATTGGTAGGGGTGGCTTGGGAATAGCCCTTAAAAAAAGGGAAAAACTTGTTAGTTCATAATGCATTAGTAAAAGTTTAATAATTACGTTGCCCTGTCCGACACGGAGTTATATAGTGCTAGGATCTTACCTACTCCCCAAAATTTAGCGTAGGGACTTCATAGATCGACCCCCCTTTTTTTCTTGGTGGCGAGCCACTCCCTAGGGACGAGTAACCAACACTATTTTCACTTCTTGTTAGATAAAGGCTTATAAATTAATTTGCCGAACTTCTTCATAACTAACAAATGAAATCTATCAAGATAGTCCTTATATGGTAGTTAACTACCTCATCTTTTCATGGATAGCCTTAGATACATTCATTCCATTGATTCTGAGTTTTGGGGCTGAAAAAGCTCGTCGATTCTTCCCTTCGTTCCTTTTATCTTGGACATCTCACTTGGAATGCTATGCATTCTTTTCGATCTTGTACTGACGCTGAATACCGACCCAATCTCGATGAAAAAAGCAAAAACGTGCGCAACTACATCAAAAACCTCTATTCCTGAAGTAAACTCTAGTCGCTCTCGCTCCGCTCATATACTATTCGAAACCGAGAAAACCATGGTGGCGAGGAGTCGGTTGATGGAAATCATTTTCACTTCTTGTTGGACAACTCGCTCTAATACCACTTGTTGGAATGGTATGACAACCCTGCGAAGGGTGAATAGGGTTAAATTAAACTTTAATAAACTTTGTTATACGATTGACCCAATTAAATAAATAAGTAAGCTTTTTACAAACAAATAAATTTATCTCAAGTTAAGCAATAAATTAGAAATTCAAACACCTAATTAATTTTACCATCTAAATAATTATGAAGTAATTGAACTAAAATGTAGCAACTAAAAGTCCCGATAAATTCTAACAATTTTTTTTGAAACAACGAAAATTTTCATTAAACTTAAGATACCATTAAGGCTACAAAGCTTTGAAAATCAACTTCAATACGCTGACAAAGAAAAATGGGAAAATCAGAGACCCAAAGATGCATTGACCCAACCTAAAGGGCTTCCATTGCCAAATAATGAGTCCTCTGGTTTCCTGTAGATATGGTGGAAAGAAATCAGAGGATAAGAGCGAGACAGCTCTTTCATGTCTGAAATCCAATTTGCCGCTTCACTGATCCACTCGGCTTCTTCACAGATCAACTTAATTGTCTCCAAAGAATCAGACTCAAKCAGGATCTTCTTCAAACCTAGACGCAACGCAAGTCTCATGCCTCGCGAATTGCCTGAATTTCTGCCAAGAGAAGATTTCTGCATTCGTGAACATCCACCATGGCTGCAATCAAGTTCTAATTTTCGTTCTTGATTAAAATCCCCATACCCGATCTGTAGTTGTCACAAGCGCCGTCTGTGTTTATTTTAACCATATCCAAAGGAGGAGGAGTCCACACATTCTTCCAAGGTAATCTCGCATTTTTATCTTGCACACTACATTCTTCCAAGGTAACATCGCATTTTTATCTTGCACACTACTCTTTAAGGTCTTTGAGTATTCATTTGCATATTTGAAAATCCAATCTGCCTTTTTGTCACATCTGGAACCAATTTGTGATTTGAAATAGCGTTTATGTCATTCCAAATGGCCCAACAGGTGATCCCAACAATAGTTAATTATGATGTTTATAAAATCTTCATCCACTCAGCCCAGCAATCACGAAAACAACCATGAAAACTGCTTTGAATCTCTAGGGACAGGATAATCCTCTGCCAGACCTGCTTTGAGCGCTTACATCCAACAAGAGCATGAGCCACATATTCTTCCCTTCTCGCACAAACTGGACAAATCGATAAGACATTCATCCCTTTTCTCCTTAGATTTGACGTAACCAGGATTATATCATGACATGTTTTTCGTAAGAACACTTTGATCTTGGGGGCAATGGAATTTTCCAAAAGGATTTCCACCATTCCTCCTGATTGTTATCACTTGTTGAATTCCTGAGTAATTTGTTTCTCATTGCAATTATATAGCCGTTTTTAACTGAGTACATGACATTCCTATTATAGTGCCATGTTCATCTGTCTGCCACCTCCACAAGAGTAATAGGAATTTTCTCAATTTCTTCAATATCGGCCTCACCTATCACCTCTCCTGATTTCCTCAAATCCCACTGCTTATGGTCATCTATGAATGCTGCTACCCAAGGCTTCCAGATAGGATTCGGGTTCGGAGAGATCAATCTAAAGGTGGATTCTCTAGGGACCTAAGGATCCTAAAAAATAACGATAGTTGCTCCATTCCCTACCACCTTTCTAAGTCCCAATTTTAAAAGATCCCTACACCAGACCATACCTTTCCAAAAATATGAGGATTGAGTCCCATAATCGGCTTCCAACAGAGAGCTTTCGGTCACATAAATACCACTTATAACTTTTGACACAAACAAATTAGGGGATTGGATGAACCGTCAGAGTTGCTTTGCCATGAGAGCCTTGTTAAAAAGTTCTAAATCTCGGAAATTGTAACAATTAATTTCATGCAATTTATAATAATATAAAATTAATTCCCCAAGCTCCTCTTGATATTCGATTGAAGTACATGACTCTTTCCACGGCTTAGAGTCCAATCGGTACAATGTTCTTTTTTATAGAGCAAGAACAAACCCGGATTCTTTTTATRGTTCAAGATCAAACTGTTACAACGCTCTTTTTCGGGTTCAAGAGCAACTCTTACAAAGAATTGAAATTTTGAATAACAAGCTTACAAACTCACTCAAAGAATGGATATACAAATTTAATTCACAAATTTTGTAAGAAAAAATCTTAAAAAATAAAGCCCTCTAATGGCTAAGAGAAAATAAAATTGGATAGTTCAAAGATCTCTCTAAAAATAAATCTCTCACAAGAATTCAAAGAAACATTGAAGCTTTGGAGAGAAGAAACATTGAGGAATTATTGAGAAAATTGTCGTGTAAATTATGAGAGAAGAAGGATGATGAAATAGGGAGGAGAATGATTTGAAATTGGTTTGAAACTAAAATCAATATGGATCATTAGATTTTAAAAGGTTAAAATGAATGGTTGAGATTTAATTTGAAAATATATATATATATATATATATATATTTATTTATTTATTTTTCCCTCTCAAAGGATTTTTTTTTAAATAATTATTTTTTAAAAACAAATGACAAATCTAAGGTAGGTTTCAAAGTAATTACAAAATTAGGGTAGATAAATCGCAGGGATAGGCTGCGATTTATGTCGAAATCGCGGTCATTGACCGCGATTTCACTAAAGTCGCAGTCATTGGCTACGACTTCTGCCTGACGTGGCGCAAATGGAGCCACGTCTTTGCTGACTTCCCTTTGTTTTTTTTTGGTTAAATTTGGGAGGGGCAGCCCTCCCCCCCTCCTCCTTTTTTTTTTTTTTTTATTTTTTATTTTTTATTTTTATTTTATCTTTTGAATTTAAAAATTATAGCCCTGCAACTTCCCACCAATATCCCTTTGTTTTTCTTAATTTTATTTTAAAAGACCATAATTTAAGAAAAATACTATCATCTAAATTTTCTCTATATTTGGAAAGTAATTCTTAATTACCTACCACATGATGGACATATTCCTATAATATAATAATTTAAAACAAAATAATTGTAAAACAAACAAAACCCTAATTATACATATCCCAAAATTTGGTTTTTGTTTTAAAGTCATGTATTTCGCGATGCAAATGACAAAACATGTGAGTTTCATGTAATTTATACCTTTACTTTTATGGTTTTATTAATTTAATAATGTTTTATCAATTTAATTTATATTAAATTTAAATGTTATTTTATAGAACATACGAAGATGAAATACAAGAAGCTAAATGACATTTTAATCATCGAATTGGTTTTAATATAAGTTTAAACTTTTAGACTTTAAATGACATTTTAATCAAATTTAAAAATAAAAAAATAAAAAATAAAAAATTTAATCACATCTTAATTAAATTTCGCAATATTAATAAAATAACAATATATAAATAAAATAAAACAAAAAATAAATAAAAATGAGGAAGTTGCGTACAATGTACGCGACTTCCAAAAAAATAAAAAATAAAAAAGTGAAAGTCGCGTACATTGTACGCGACTTCCACCTAATCACTTGCCACGTTTGCACGGAAATCGCAGGCATTGTAAGCGAGTTTTGACTTTTATTTTAACCTAACCTATTTTTGTCAATAGTTTTGAAACATAACTTACCTTTGAATTTATTTATTTAAATTACATTTATTTTGTAGTTTTTTTTAAACTAACATTATTTTTGTAATTTATTTTTAAAACTAGATTATTTTTAAACTCTGTCCCCTCTCAAACGGCTTTTTCCCTCTCAAAATAATATATAATTTCTTTTAAAAAAAAAGAAAAACTAGGAAATTAAACTTCCATTAAAGAAGGAACAACGTGTTTAATTAGCTTGTTGGATCAACTGGAAAAATGAGCCAACTTAAATATCGTTTTCAAAATTTATGTGGTTAAGTAATTAAAAATAATTTTGAACATTGTAAAAACGTTTTAAAATACTTATAGAAATAAAAAAAAATTAACTAATATCATTTTGTATAAGGCCGTCGAATTTCAAAACGAGTATAACTCAGAAGTAATTGACATATATCTCCAACCAAGAGGACGTGAGTTCGATCCCCCACCCTCATAAAAAAGTATTGTGTTTTGTCTTTTAATGGTTTTATTTTTTAAATAAAGGCTTCATTTGACAACTTAAGGAACTACTACCTAGGCTACGATTGACGAAATCTGAAACTCTACCTCTTTACAAGCGAAAAGGAAAAATAAAAAAGTCTAACATAAATCTGAAACTCTACCTCTTTACAAGCGAAAAGGAAAAATAAAAAAGTCTAACATATTGAGTTACCCTTACTAAGAGATTTCTTAGCAAGGAGATGAGGGGTCTTATATTGAGTTCTCTACTACATGCATGTAGAAATGAAAGAACGTGTAATATGTTCGATATTACAAACCAAGGTAGCAATTTCATTTTGTCAATTCATCGCTCTGTTTATCGCATAGATTGCCTCTAGCGAGTCCGAATCCAC